AGGATATCAAAGAAAGAAAAACTTGGAGAGGTATTTTGGTTTTAGAATATCCCTATAAATTTCATACCATACAGAGTGATATGGCTAGAAATTAAGCGTTGGCTTTTGGGACTCTGCCAAAGAGAATCTCCCTGCGTCCAGGCATTAGAAAATTGGGATCAGCGGTAAGATATCATTGTTTTAGAACTAATTAATTATAATGTGTCAGTAGTAGTTTAAGTATTGCTTTGGATCGACTAAACAAACGATGGGCTGAAGTCGTCTATTTAAGTTGTTCATTATGGATCGTATCACTCAAAAGATAACTATATAAATAAATTACTTGTTTCCGATTAAGTAAGTATATTGATGCATCGAAAATAATTTCCATTTACCTCTCTCTCTCTCTCTCTCTCTCTCTCTCTCTCTCTCTCTTCCAGAAGTTCAAATTTTGATCAAAGAGTCGCAACACAGACCTCAATCAGCTACATTGATTGCACTTCTCTTAAGCATTCACCACTGGCTGCACTCGCGCCACACCACACCACACGACACTTTCTTCCACGCAACCTTTCTTTCGAATGCAAAAAAAACCTTATTATAGAGAGAGCAGACTCCCGTTCAAAACCCTCCATATAATATTAACTATTGTTCTCTCTAATCTTTCCACAATTCCAATCTCCAGTACAAATCCAAGTTTAACTCAACCGCACTTGACTCTATAACCATATCCATATACTCGCAAGTGTGAGCTAAATAATATTCCAACAAGTATCCTAATGGTCAAGGCACAGTGTGCATAATTAAGATGTCAATGTTACAGTCCTGCTGTAAGCATCTTCCTATTGTTTTGACTTATAATAAGTTCTTAAGTCTTCGTTAACTCAAAATCTTTCCAGAGCGTAACTTTCTATGGCAGCTACAGAATCAGTACACAATACAGTTCAGAATCGCTTTTGGTTTGGAAGCAAGTCACAAATTGTTTAGTCCTGGGACTGACCATTTTGATCGGAGAGATGAGAGACGTGACCTGGGAATATCTCCAGCTATCAGCCGACAACCGGCATCCCACTACCATACATAGTTGTACCATGATACATGCTGTTGTATTCGATTCACAAGAACAAAACAAAAGCAATCGGGGAACTCGTTCCAAGAATTATATTAAGAAACTGGCACTCTAGTCTTCCCCTTTGCCTACATAAACACCCCCCTTGGACCGCTCTACTCCTCACCAGTCTTCCCTCTTCATCGCACTCTCCACGACAATGGCTTCCCTTGTTTCTTCTTCTTCTTCTTCCATTGCAGTATGTTTAATTAGTCTAAGTTTCGTGTCTGTGGCCGTCATGGCTGCGACACCAAGGAGAGCTATCGATGTTCCGTTCCAGAAGAACTATGTGCCCACATGGGCATTCGATCACATCAGTTACTTCAACGGAGGCGACGAGGTCCAACTCTGTCTGGACAAATCTACAGGTCAAACACTTGGATCGGAAGGTTTAGTTATATGACTTTGATGCTTGTTTTGGAAGTCATTTGCTTCTCTCGTATCCCATTTTAGGTACTGGCTTTCAATCGAGGGGCTCCTACCTGTTTGGCCACTTCAGTATGCATATAAAGATGGTTCCAGGTGACTCAGCCGGAACGGTGACTGCATTCTATGTGAGAATTTCCGTGGTAGTAGGGTGATGAATTGTCCGTCACGCTTTGATTCGTTGACAATTATGTGATGTTTTTGTCCTCAGCTCTCGTCTCAAAACTCCGAGCACGATGAGATAGACTTTGAGTTCCTGGGGAACAGGACCGACCAACCATACATCCTGCAGACCAATGTATTCAGTGGCGGGAAGGGAGACAGGGAGCAAAGGATCTATCTCTGGTTTGATCCAACCAAAGACTACCATTCCTATTCTGTTCTCTGGAATATGCACCAGATCGTGTAGGTTTCTTCTGCCCTTTCCTTTCCTTTCCTTGTTGCGGTGATGATAATCCCAGTTTAAAAGCCAACTTACAGGAGATTATAGTTAGTTTTGCCCAAGAAATGAAAGCAATATGCATGCATGCGTGCTTTGAGATCAGCGATGAGTAATTGGTGACTCACTCTTGTCGGACGAAAACCAGCTTCTTTGTAGATGACGTTCCCATCAGAGTGTTCAAGAACAGCAAGGACTTGGGAGTGAAGTACCCCTTCAACCAGCCCATGAAGATCTACTCCAGCCTGTGGAACGCCGACGACTGGGCCACCAGAGGCGGCCTGGAGAAGACGGACTGGTCCAGGGCGCCCTTCGTCGCCTCCTACCGGGGTTTCCACATCGACGGCTGCGAGGCGTCGGCCGACGCTAAGTTTTGCGCCACCCAGGGGATGCAGTGGTGGGATCAGAAGGAGTTCCAGGACCTGGACGGCCCGCAGTACCGCCGGTTGCAGTGGGTTCGCCAGAAGTACACCATCTACAACTATTGCGCCGACCAGTCGAGGTACCCGACCATGCCACCGGAGTGCCACAGGGACAGAGACGTGTGATGAATGAACGCACGTGACCCTCTCCGGCCCCCGTGCATGCATGCGTAACTCGGAGTCGGAGATAACGCTACTCATTACTGTTATTATTTGCATTTGTCATATTTCACTGTCATCTCTCCGTTTATCCCCTCGACGAATTTGTGATTTGAGACGTTCAATGTGGAAATTCCATGGGATATATAAACAAACATTATCGTTTGAGCAGTAAGTTTGATGTCAATAGCTAACAAGAGAAACTTGGATGTTGATGGAGGATGCCCTCTTGTTTGCTGTGTGCAATGGGAGAGGAGGAGGAGGAGGAGGGGGTGTTTCTGATCGGGAATCATGCCATGTGACTCCCGTCTTTCTTCTCGCCGGATCCCTTTACAGCCACCCACTGTGAGATGCTCACTCACTGGGAGGGCATTAATTGAAGCGTCTGAAAGGGTGGCCCAAACCTCGGCTGCCTGTCTCAGTCAGTCTTAAAACTCATTTCTTCATGCCGATATCCACATTCAACTGCAACAACGACTGCGTAAATTAAGGTGGCCGCCATGTGAAGGAACCCTCCCTCGGCCATATAACCAAGCAAATAATTTACATCTCTTCTTCCGCCCAGAGTTATCGTAATGGAATTGAGATTGATTATTAAAATCCCAACGAGCTTCGTTCATCATCATATCACTACCGTCGGTCAATCTGCAGTAAGATCATATATTAGAATATTATTCTCACTTTTTATTCTTTTTTACTTTTGATTTTTATTTTTCACTCCTCTCTCTCTCTCTCTCTCTCTCTCTCTCTCTCTCTCTCTCTCTCTCTCTCTCTCTCTCTCTCTCTCTCTCTCTCTTTACTTTGATTTGATTTGATTTTTAATTTTCTTCACCCGTACGTAGATTTTTTTAAGTATATAAATAATTGTAGACGAGTTCCAGTTGCCTCGATATGCCCTTTGACGCCAGCAGAGCAAATCTAAGATGCCAGACTGGAGGAGTTGTTGTGTGTATGAAGGCCACAGCTTTCCACATATATTCCTTCCACTGCTTCTCACTAGATCCATACAACTGACCTTTGCTCTTGTTTCAGAACCTTCAGCTCATACAACTCGCGACTATATTTTGCTCCCACTCAAGTGCACTTTCCATAAAAAGTGTCAAACAGTGTGCCTCATGACAACGGTAAGCTATCGAGAAGCAATGCTACCTTCTTTACGTGCGAGTGAAACCAATCGGTAATTCGTACGAGCTTTGTGTAGTCTCCAGGCTACGAGAAGCTATTTCCTTCTTCCTGCTGTCTCTTGCTCCGACCACCACAATCTGTCATAAACCTTTTAGCATGGCCATTGAAGAGGAATTGAAGGCGTGCAACATTTCTCTGAATTTAACACATTCTATACTATATTTATCTGAAAGTTTGGTTTCTTTTCTTCTTTGGTGTAGAGAGTTGAGTTGAAGGTTTCTGCCAACTGCTGCGAGAGATGCAAGAGAAAAAAAGTGTTGAAGGCGTTAAGCATCAAAGGTGAACGCTTTTTGTTTTGTATTGTCAATCTCCCAAACCATGCTGCATGCGACTGACGTTCGAATGTGTTCTCCAGGTGTACTGAGAGCAGAAATCCACCCCTCTCTGCCCAAACTCACGGTGATCAGCGTCCTCGACCCCAAATTCCTCGTCAGGAAGTTGTTTAAGGTGGGAAAGAATGCAAAGATATTGCCGGCCGAGATTCCGAAACCGCAAGGGGAGGAGACGCGTTGGGAAGCTGTTGAGATCAAATCAAGTGAGCCAAGCAAGGAAGCAAAAGAAGGCAGTGGCTCGAAGAAACCCAACCCCGAGAAGGAGAACAGCACAAGCTCGACTGTCAACGACAAGAATAGTAGCGCGAGCATCGACAGCGGGAGCCCAGATGACCGCAACAGGGAGGCCAGTGACGGTGCCGAAGCAACCAAGAGCTCGAATGCAACGATCGTCGCAACACTTGCGCAGGTGAAGGGCATCGCGAACCAAAAGAGCGCGGAACTAATGGCATCTCAACCGCGAGTTTTCTGCCCAATATCGGAGCCGATGTCATCATACTGTGCCATGAATGCCTATCCTTCTCCAGCGCCTTACTACTACCACTACGACATGCCGGCTCCACCGTCAGCTGCCCCATTCCACGACTGCTACTGCAGCGATGATAACTACGTCGGCTGTCGGATCATGTGAGGCTTCCCGCACCAGTACGAGAAAGGTGGCTTAATGACTCTCGAGGCCTAGAAATGCCTATTCCTTGTCACGTTCTTTACTATTATTCTTGTGGCTTCCCTTGTTTCGCTATAGAAGGAAGTTTGCAGTAAAGATATAGGAATCTGCTCCCACCCGAGCTTGAGAAAACTAGTGAAGTGAAAGGAGGAGAGATTAAGCACTTTGGAAGATGCTTTGAATTAGTTTAAGCTCGCGTTTGATAGCTGAAGCCTTGTCGGGGACTGATGGAATAAAGCAGGCGAGCTATTAGCCACACAAATCCAGTGTTTTATGGGGTTCTTTTCAGCCTTCCGTTGGCACATTAAGCGTTTTATTTGCAGTCAACGTTCAACCATGTCATGAAAAAGAACCGATATGACTTCATGGGAGATGCCTTGGGTCCATTTGCGTACCATTTAGTTCCAGGACAATTTATCAAGAAAAAAAAAAGATAGACTTTCTTTTATGTATGTTATTTATTGATAATAATATCTTAGTTAATTAGGGTCAAAATAGAATTAATTCCGAACTCGAAGTTATGAAGATAATACTTAAATCTACATTTTTAGATCAAGTAAGATTAAAATTGAATATGAGATGTAATTTTAATAATACTAAGAATAGACATGAGGATATAGTTAAATTAATGAAAAAAAAATTAATTATGTAAATGCTTTACATGTCTTATATAAATTATTTTACTAGACAAAGAGATTGATAAAAATATTATTCATAAAGTAAAAAAGAAGATGATTATAATGATAGGGGATATCAAGAATCTTATACATTAATCATATATATATTTGTGATTAAATTTTTTTTAATAAGATAATTTTCTACTAGATGGAGAAATTAATAAAAATATTACTGATAAAAATATTATTTAGCTAGATAGAGAGATTGAGAAAAATATTATGCATAAAGTAAAAATAAGACGATTACGATCTAAGGGATATTATGTAATCATCAGATACCTTTGAGATTAAAATATTATTTTTATAAGATAATTTTTCTGTTGATAAAAATATTATTTAATTAGATAGAGAGATTGATAAAAATAATATTTATAGAGTAAAAACATGATGATTATAATGGCCATGAACATCAGGAGTCTTACATAGTCATTTAATACCTCTAAGATTAAAAGATAATTTTAATAAAATAATTTTTTGACTAGATAAAGAGATTAATAGAAATATTATTCAGCTAAATAGAGAGATTGATAAAAATATTATTCATAAAATAAAAATATGATGATTACAAATGATAAGGCACATTATGATCATTATATATCTTTGAGATTAAAAGATAATTTTAATAAGATAATTTTTTGAGTAATAATATTTTATGGATTCGAGTGTTCAATAGTTAAGAAATAATATAAAAAAAAAATTTATGTTGTTGAGACAAAAAATATTTAGATTAATATATTAATTTACTAGAAAAGACAAGAAAAAAATATTTGTGGGCACTTTGTTAAGGATATGAATGAGAGGTAGAGAAATACCTACAAAATTTTAAAAAAAATATAAATACTCTTAATTTAACTAAACATATAACTATTTATAAATCTTAATGACGGACAAAACATCTATATAGTTTTATTGTTGTTCTTACTAATATTTATATTAGGTAAACAATATATTTTTACTGTAAAATCAATTCATTTCTTTGTTAGAAACCTATGGAAAAAATGGTAATATTTAATTAAAATATCAAATAAAGATTATAGAGGTTAATTAAAATTTAGGAACGAACGAAGGGTTTGGCCGAATTTGGCATGCAATCGTTAAGTTTGAGGAGATTTCATACATCCAAGTTGTGGGTATTACAACTAATTAATATGATAGCACCTAAAGGAATGCTAATTAATATGATTTCATACATCCAAGTTGTGGGTATTAAAGAGCATAGCACTTAAAAGGAATGCAGTGAGTGTTACAACTAATTAATATGATCGCTAGCTTCACCGCCGGTTCAAAAAAAATACTTTTCCCATGCGACGATAGGTTTTACTGGTTCAAAATAATCGAATAAGTATCCTCGCCGTCGCCATTCCAATCTCTCTCTTGATCCTGTTAGAGAAGAGCGACGAACGCGCCACCCAGCCGGTGGCGCCCGTTCGTCGGGCATTACGTCCTGGTCGCGACGGGCACAGCTGCTCTGTCGCCTTTAGGGCTGTCCTTCGACGTGGCAGCTGACAGTTGGCATACCAGTCAAGGGACCCACCTGTATCCCCAGGAAAGCCCCCGGTCAGGCCCTGCTGCCACGACCGGCCGGGCGAGCGTAGCGGAGGCGTACCAGTCACTCGTCCTCCAAAACTCACCCACGTGGGGCGTGTCAGGTCGGTTCCCTTTCTTCTCGCCGGAGATCACTCTCCCCGCGTCCGGACCGTCGGTGATGAAACCTCAATTACATGTCGCATGCGGATTTCCTTGGTTACATTTGTGCGACGGATATATCGCTTTCAGCGTCCGGTGTGGAAGGCGAAGCCCCGCTGAATCGCCCATCCGGATTCCTGATACACCTACTCGTGGTTGGACCACCTTCCTCTGCTAGTGCACTTGCAAAGTTATTCATCAAACTGACCCCGATGCCCGACAGCTATCATTTCGAAGCAAGCCGGCTAACGGAGCAATAGCTGGCATGCTGCGAATGGGTATTTCCAGCGCGCCATCGAGGAAACTGGGCACCGGTGTCCCTTCCCCTTATGGTAGGGCGCATGCAAGGTGTTCGAAGGTCGCTCCCTCATTTCTGGAGCCCCACCTGCCACTCCCACTCTCTCTCGGTCGATAACGAAGCTAGCGGAGATCCAATTTTTAGGTTTGGATCGGGGAGCGCCTTCGTAGATACAGAGGGCCCAGATCACGGTGGCATTCCCGACATCCCATCCCTGGTTCATCGCATGAGACGTTGCTCGTTGCGGTGGATGTGAATCGTTTCGGGCGAGTGCCTCAGTTTTTGGATCGGCACATTGTTTCATATCCGCCTCCGTGTGAGGTTTCTTTCTCGATTGGACTATTTTGAGTGGAAAAAAAGTTATCTTTTTATCCTTTTCCTTCTCACGTTTTTCGTATCGGGATCCATCCGTTGTTGAGGATATGATCAAGATTCACCTTATGCCCCTCACCTTGATTCCAAATTGTGTGTCAGGTGATTGGGTGATCTGGTGCAGTGAACTGACAAGGGGAGCTATTTGATTGATTTAATTTGGCTGCTAACGGTACAAATGGCAAATGAATGTTTTAATTTCGGTAGATGGCATAATATTTGAACCACTTTCTAGATTTTCATTATGGAGGAATGCGGAACATTACAAGTGCCATATTATCAAGAAACGGTCCAATGGGAAGCTTGGAGTTGTTGTTTGTCACGTAGCAATTGTTGTCCCGATAGGTTAAATGTATCAGAGGAAACTGTCGGCAGGAAAGTATTCATAAGCTACCCCTGAAATGTGGTTCCATATGGACATCATCCTTCTTCACCTTCCTTGTTTCTGTCTGCATTTGTCTTGAAAGTGAATGCAGATCTTATGTATGTGATCTTGCAAGACTGAAAAATGAATGTGTTTCTTTTTTGCTCCATTCTTGATACGGAAGATTCTGGCATGTTCTTTCCTTGATTTCGGTGTCTAGCAAATCATTTTGATGTCTGTATTTCTTTCATCATTATACATGGGGCCTATATCATGATTTTAGTTGTACACACTGAGAGACGACACTGATGCTTAATTCATATTAATGGTTGCAACCTGTGCTTCATTAATGACATTCCTAGAGTTTATGATACTTGCATGCTGATCATTGAAGCACTTACTATTCTTCTCATAAGATCCTTATGATTCGTTTTCTTCTGAAACATACTTTCTTAGATAAAATCTGCCCACATGGGTTCTACGTCTGTGGAGAAACTGCTAGAGAATGGTGTGGGAGTTCACTTTTCTGGACTTCATGTGGATGATCTAGAACCAAGAAATTCCGAGGAGCCACTGGCAACTTCTACAACAGAGAATGGCTACGGAGAACCCTTCATAATAGGTTAGTTCTTTATGTTGAATTTTACAAAGCGGTCCATTTTGTTGATTATTTGGTGTTTCAGAGCCTTCTTGTCAATATTTATACATGATTTAGGTTGAACATATATCTCAGTCCACGCTCCGAAAGTTAGTATCTGATTCTGTAACAAGCTTCCTAATTGTTTGCTCGGAAAAAAGTTCTGAGATGGTCACAAGAATTAAGATTTGACATGAATCAATTCTTTGGATGGGTACGTGAGATGTAAGAATACCCACAGTTTTTTAAAGATGAGTGTTACATAGAGGCATTTAATATGAATATTGAATTTCATTGTCGATGTGCCAACTTCCACCAGAACATCAAGATTAATTCTTAAATCAATTCATTTGGCTTATATATTTGTAAATTTCAACCAAGACGTAGCATTATGGAGCACCCAAGGGAGGGGGCAATTTATGACATGAAAATGTATGCAAACTGAGCTTGTATGGAATTGAAGAAGACAGTGAGTAAATAAAAAGGTCATATGAAAATGCATCTTGATATGGTTGAATGGACATATAGGGGTGTGGTTCAGAGGACCATGTCTTGATATCAAGCCTTGATCATCTTCAGACTAAGCGGTCTTGTCTTATGTGATCAATCCTTTTCCTCAAAAACATTTTAAATGAAATAAGATGACATGGTGGGTCTCTTGCCTCATTCAAAAGTGGATCACCCCAGCTCTCTATAGTGCTTACCCAATCTGTCATTAGGACCAAGTTATCATGATAAAATTACAAACCAAATGATTATTTGGGCTCCTTTGTTTTTTTTTTTGTCCCGCTCATAGCAGTGTAGCTGCAGGCACATGTTTTATAATTAATATAAACCAACATCTGCACACATTTGTGTCAGTTGCACGATCTGTATAAAAGCAAATTTGGATCAATTGCACTTGCAATCGCTGGATAAAATTGTGATAGGACTCTCACTGTTATTTCCCTTAATTACAGTGAGGATCTTGCAATTCAGAGTCATCATTAAGCTGTAAAAGTGTAATTGAACAAGATTAAATTGTTTGATTGAGATGAGTAAAACATGAACTGCGTTTGTGAATTGTGTTGTTTGATTGAGATGAGTAATGCATGAATTGTGTTGTAAGAATTTATGTAATCAGCCAAAAAAATGGTGTTGTCTGAACGCGCTAAATGCCTTCCAAAATAAACATCCCTAAATTGATATACATAAATAATTAAATTCATGACTTAATAAGAACAATAATGTATTTGACTAAGCTTTTTATGACATTATGAAGAGATAAAAAGAGTTTATTATCAGTGTCAAGGTTGTACCAGACTGCCAGCATTGGTATTCAAGATTGACGTAATAACATGTATGAACACATCAAGTTGATCACCATTAAAATGTGTATATTTTAATTAATCTTATAAATAATGCAGTTGAAATGACTTTTTGTACCTACCATATAAAAGTATTTGGAAATTTGAGTATCCTGTGTTCAAGCAAATGATATGAAGATATGATACAACTTCTTGTGTCAGAGTACATTCCAAATCTCCATATGTATGGTGAATGTCAAGTGATATATGTAACTCATATGTTAACTCTTTTTCATATTAACCTGATGGTAGACTACAAACATTGTCTACACAGCTACAATGATCACAACCATTGCATCCGTAAATATGATGGGTAAAAGATGCTTCTTCATGGTTTTCATTTTCCATAAGCTAGTATAATGGGAGTTAGCCCAATCACCCAAAGAAAACATTACCTTGAGTTTGATTTGCTCTGTTGGATGGACTTTAAGGAGATGAAGTGGGTGGTAAACTGAGTGCTATCAAAATGTAGGAACTCTGTTTGTGTGAATCTCTGTATCAACATATGCTTCCATTAGTAATAGTAAATGAAACAGGTGATGCTTAGCACCTTTTCCAGTTCTTATTCACTATTGCGATATTGCCAATATCGTCCATTAAGAGATTTATATTTATATAATAGATTGTAAATTATGTTCAGAAAATATATGCTATGCTATTCATTAAGTGTTATCACCAATTACAAAGTGGTTCACACTTCAATAGCATTCCTACAAATACAACTTGAGAACCTTAATACCTATGCATGGTGTTCACCATTTAAAAGCATGGCCCTGGTGTACAATCTCTAACTCTGTATGAGATCACTAGTAGATATGATGATAAAAAGATTGGGGGATTAAGCAATTTTAGAAAGAAGTAGGACCTACGTAGTGTGACTCTCGTGTGTGATAGTTGGTCCAACCCTAAATTGATATATTATAACAAATTGATAGTCTTTCACAAGTTGGTTGTTGCATCAAATTAAATGGATGGTATGTTCAAGGTCTGATGGGGAGGCACTGACAATCGAATATCAGTTCATAGTCAAGTGGTTAGTGACAGGGTTCTCAATTTCGATGTGTACCGCCCCATACGGGCGGCGGTACGTACCGGTTCGAGAGGATACCGGTACGTGGACCGCCCTCTACTGAGCGATAATAGTGTTTTAACTGGTACCAATGCGTACTGACTGGCATCGAGGCATACCGACCAGTACCGAGGTGTACCGTTCGATATCACCCCCATATTTCGACCGTTACCAAGGTGTATAGGTCGGTACGCCCTACATTGGTAGGTGGAGGTATTTTTAAGGTTTTAAGGTATATCGTCAGTACGCCTTGGCGTACTGACGTTACATATTGATACGTATCGTACCGAGCAGATCTCGGTATATCAGTACAGACTGATATTCAAAACCCCAATTAAGATTATAATTGATACCACAATATGATGTTTTGGGTATAAAACCTACATGGGTCCTTGTTCGGGCTAGTACATGTTTATAAGTGTTGGTGTATTGACACATGATACATTGGCATATGCCTTGGAATATTTTTATGATTTGACTATGCATAGTGTTGCGCGGCACATGTTGCAGTCCATTCCGCTAACCCGATAGTCCATTGGACTAATACCTACCTCTTGATATGTATTGCTTTAGGTGAAACATAGAACCATGATTAGTACTACTCACATGACATTTAATATTAATATGCTTTGCACTACTAATAAGGAAAACAATATTATTTTGACCTCATCATTGATTATAAATGAGGTATTAAGTTATTACAGTAAGGGGGGTTATGACAAGTATGCTTGTGTCGAGTATTGAGAAATACAAATTTTCTTACATGTCATACAAATGTCCTTGAACATCTAGGTGTTCCATTTTCGATCAATGATATAGAGATATGACTTTGATCGCTCAGGATCAAGGGTGTCTTCCTGATCTACTAAATAAGGAATTGTATGTGATCTATCGAGTTTTAAATTATTAGAATCATTACTTACTGACAAACCAATTTGTGCTTTATTCTGATTATGAAGCTTTAAAATATCTTAATAAAAAAAAAATAGTAGGCGATGTGATATGCGAATTGAGTTTTTGCAAGCCTATAATTTTTTATTAAACATAAGTATGGTATTGAAGATATTATTGCTGATGCTTATAGTGGAAAATATTTCTTACTTATTCAGTTGCAAGTAAAGGCTGTAGGGTTTGAAATCCTAAAAAAAGCTTTACAAAGAAGATCCTTGTTTCAGAAAATTTGGAAAAGTGTGAAAATAGTAGTGAAAATCAATTCTTCCTTCATGATGATTATCTTTTTAATGCTAATCGTCGATGTATTCCTTAATGCTCCTTAAGGGAATCTATCATCATGTATCTTGATTCTTGTGTTGCTAACTTATATTTTCGTAAAATTGTGAAACTCCATGATATTTCTAAATCTATTGTTGTTTATGGAGATCCAAAATCTTCTTTTGGATCCTTTTTATCATTTCCAAACTGATGGTTATGCTGAAGTTGTCAATCGCAGTTTGAAAAATATTTGAAGAAGCTACATAGACAAAAACATTCATCAATGAGATCTTATTTTGGCTCAAATTATATTTGTATGTTTCAGTCAACTAGTCAAAATACTGGTTGTAGCCTTTTTGAAGTTGTGTATGGGCAAAATCCCATAAGTCCAAAGGACTTGATCTCTCTTCCTGATTCTCATCATTTTAGTAGAGATGCAGAAGAATGAGAAAAGGTCATAAAAAAGTTGTATGAAAGCTTGAGACGAGATTCTTAAGCAAAGAAAAGTATATAAGTAATGGCAATAAGCACCGAAAGTATGTCAAATTTCAAGGAGACTTAGCCTGGGTTCATATTCAAAAGGAAAGGTTTCCTCAAGGGAAATATAGTAAACTTCATTCTAGAGCTTATGATGCTTTCAAAGTTCTACAACGTCCTGATATCAATGCATGCAAGATTGATCTTCCCGATAGTTAATTATGGTATCTCAAATATTTTCAATATTGCTGATCTTTCACTTTACCATTGTGAGAACAATAGTTAGGACTCAAGGATGAGTCGTTTTCAACTAGGTAGATTGACACAGGAATTTCTCCATATTTAGAATCAAGAGGTCTAGATAATTACACTAGTCTCTTAGTTTTCTAATAAACCATAATTTTAGTACTCATTTAATATTTATTTTTGAGATGAACTCTGAGATATTTGTGATAATTATACATCATTGGAAAGCTTATTGAGCTAGAAATCCAAGCACTTTATGGAATTCAGTTAGAATTTTTCCAGAGAAAGCTATATTTAGTTCTCTCTACAAAGGTCTTAATGGCTGCCCTAGTGGAAGAAAGTTTTTCTTCTCTTTCGGAATCCCTAGATGGCTTTTAGTTATTCTACAAATCTTTAATTAGCTTTTATTTATTTTGATCTTGAAAATGGTGAAGATTAATCACCAATACTTGGCCTTAAAGGTATAGAGTGGTTTCAATGTGAGTATTGTTTCTTAAAGGATATTGTCCTTCTTATATAACTCTGTATTTCTTTGGTGGATTCCTTAGAATTATGAGTTCCCAAAACAATGTCTCCCTAGTAGATTCTTTGGGTGGTACATCTGTAGGCCTTATGTGTTTTTCTTTGGTGTGAAGCTTATTTATCTTCCCTTAAATCTATTCTGCATGTTTTCTCTTCATCCTAACATTAAAATGTCCTTTATTATGAGGTCAATAAAATGAGCTGTCTATGGTGAAAAATTACTACTCACATGTTCATCAGTCATTCGTTGACCTTCTTAAAATGTGTCATTATCAAACATAGTGCTCCCTAACTTAATCAACCAAAGTTATTATTAGGCCATGAATATATTATCTATCATGAATTTTGTCTTATGCATAAATTGACTTATGAAGATGACTCTGTTACAATAAAGCAGGAAGCTAACAATTCTGATCGTGATAAGACTGAGCTAGTTGTCACATGAGGGTCACACTATATGGATCTCACTATTTCTTAAATGACTTGTTCGAATCTTCGATTTCCTTGACTTTCTTATTAAGATACTTAGTAGGAATCTTATATGAAGTTGAAGGTTGTATCCAAAGATCATGTTTTTTGATTGGGAACACCATGGCTTAGTAGTCAAGGTCTGTAAATGTAGGAATATGGTTGAAGTTGAAGTGCTTTGCTAATGCCTTTATTATGTCCCTTATTTTTCTCTTTCATATAAATGTTATTGATCCTTGTTTGTTGTGCTCAGTAAGTGGGGAATGTCATGGGATCAAAATCAATCACGTTAGGCATTTGTTTCCTTGAGCTCAAAAACCTTGTATGCCCCTGGCTCCAGGCTGTCGCATACACTATCACTTCTACCTAGCTTGTTTGTGCCACTTCATGCTAGCTAAGGTCTTTCTCAACATTGTTTTCTCGAACCTCATATCGAATCATAGATAGGTAGCATAGAAGCTCATCTATTGAGGTCCATCTAGGCTTTATGCTGTAGCCCTAGGATTTTTTGGACATCCAACTTTGCTTTTAAAAACCCATTTGATTTCTCGAGACACTTTCATGTATTTAGTCATGTCCGAAAACCAGGTAATGTTCCTCTACTCAACCAATGTAGTCATAGTTGACGGTGATCCATGTGATGGACATGCTGACGGTGATCCAGGTATTTAGTCAACCTTCCTTTACTCAACCTTACACGTTAACGGTGATCCATGTAATATTCCTCTATTTAAATTTCATGTATTTAGTCATGTTGGGAAACTAAATATTTCTCTACCCACCATCAACATTGATAATGGTGATCCATGGGATGGACATGTTGTTACAACAAATTTATATTTTGCTTGTCTTTGTGATCCAATAGTGCTGCTCTTCAGGCATCTAGTTTGCTCCACAGGCCTGTTTGATTTCCCATGGCATCTTTTGTGCATTTCGTTATGCCAAGAATTTCCTCAGCCAACTGTTGGTTCAATTGGAGTTATTTTTATATCTTGACCAATATAGTCACATTGGATGCATTATGAATGATGGCAATGCTCTTCGTGATTAACCTGCTATCATGCTGGATGAAAACTTTATTGCTTCCTACAAAAAAATATCAATCTTGTAATCGGATGATCAAATACACAAATCATAAGATTTATATTTATTTTCAAAATTAAAGTTATATCCACAAAGATCAAGCCTCAAAACTTAAGAATCTAGGCAGCATATATGCAGATCTAGGTTGACTCTCAAGGATATAGGCTAGATCCATTCAGATCTACTTGTCATATCTACAAATCTAGCCTTGATCTATGATAATGCAGCCTTGATCTATGAAGATTAAAGGTATATTCATTTAAATCTAGGCCAAATCCAAACGGGTCTAGGCTGATCTGCTAAGAATAAGCCTAAATCCATGTGCTTCTAGGCTATTTCTCTAAAGTTGAAGCCTAGATCTAGGCTAGATCCATTCTTATCTATCCACAAGGATGAAGTCTTTATCCTCGTGAATCTAGCTTACATCCACAAGGTTCAAGGCTTGATCTGTGGATTGAGCTCCACATTAACTAGGGAAAGGGCTCTAAATGAAGATATTATGTAAATCCTAAGCTAATTCCATTAAAGAAATTCTTATCATTTCGGATTTGTCGAGGAAGAATTTTATCACATGGTCCTTAGTTTAGGAAAGTTGCTTTCATTGATCTTAAATCATTAAATCACTTACAAAGAAAAAAGTTGACATGTTGGATTAGGTGTTGAAATTTTAAGATTTGAGCAAAATAAATTATCAACATAACATTAATATATACATGCTTCTTCCACCAAATTGAATGGTGGGTCTCCAAAGCCAAAGGATCGGGTCCTCAAACCTTTAAAGTTGTATATCATATAGTAGGTTTATTTGCTCTCACTGCTTGATGAATAATATCTTCATTAATTTTTCTATCTTGTTGACTAATCGATTCAAAATATTTAAAACTTTTACTTATAGGACTTCTTATCCATCTGACTTAACAATATTCTTAGGAGTTAGGTCTACTCTTAATATTATTAAAATTGTATATTATATAATTATTCTTATTACTACTTAATTCAAACTCTTTATTTTCTAATTTTTTTCTATAACTCAAGTTTGAATAAGTTTCATTTAAATTCTCATCAACTATCATAAGCAAGTAGGTCTATCCTATATATGATTAATAAGTTTGTTCAATACCAATGTGAAAAGCTAAGGACTCAATACAAATCGTTAATGTAATTCTATACTAATAGAAAACTCACTATACTTTTAATAATAGGAACTATACTAAATATATATTTTATAACATCGATATATAGTAGATATACCTTTTTTTTTTTTCTAGAATCCACTATAGCAAAACTCTTGGAAAGGTCTCTAAATCATTAAAACCATATGCAATTTTTCTTCTCTCTATATTTTTTATTAATTATCTTAATGAATAAATAATTTTTATTATTGTTCTTCTATAAATTCTTTTCTAAAGTTTCATAATGTGACTCATAATCTTATTTCCTCTGCCATTAGATTCTTAATAATTTATTTTGTCATACTCCTAAGTCCTAATCTTATTAGCCATCATAGCCCACATAATATCAATATTATTCTTGTATAAGCTCCAAACCTCATCTTTTTCGATTTTATATTTAAAAATTCTTGTATTATCGTCTTTAAAATTTTGTCATCTAGTCTTAGCAAATTCTTTTATTGTCTTTATTAGTAGTGTCTTGATGTAATAGTTGGCGCATAATTTCCATGGTCAGCCAAAAGCTAATATCTCCTAGACATGTATCGTTAAATCCCTGGGTTTGTGGGCCCTATTTACTAATGTTATTTGTGATTAATTCACATTAGATAATTTAAGATATAAGTTTGCCCATGGAATGGCAAAATTTTAGCTTGTATTGGTTTTTCTTAGTAATCTCCGTAGTTTCAAAAATTATAATTTGCACTCTAATATTCTTTTTCTAGTAAGGCTCAAGTTCTCATAATCAAGGATCGCTATTTCGGGTACCAGACTCTTTTTGATGATATGGTCGAACTAGTGTATACCGGTCAATACTTGTGTACCACGTGTCGGTACACCGGGTGTTTCAGAGAGGAAGAAAAAGGAGAAGAGGAAGGGTTGGTAGAGGAAGAGGAGGAGGGAGGAGGAAATAAGAAGAGTGGAGGAAGAGGAAGAAGAGGAGGAAGAGAAAGAAGAGAAGAGGTATACATGAAAAGCATTTAGGGCAAAGGTCATGCATGGCGGCAGTGTGCAGCGTGGTTGTGGTAAGTGGAGGTCACCGTGTGTGGCGCGGTCGTGGCCTATGTGAGAAGCGGAGGTTGGTCGTGGCAAGGAGTGGAGGCGGCGTGCATGAGAAGCGGAGCAGAGGTCGTTGTGTGCAACTATTGCAGCGAGGTCGTGATCTGCGTGAGAAGCAGGGGTCATGGCTATGTGAGAAGTGGAGGCTCGTGCATGAGAACTGAGAAGTGATCAGGGTTAGGGAAGTTTCTTTTTTATATGGGCAGATCGGACAGATGGTGGTCCACAAACCGGTTGATGCCCGGACCGGTATGTACCGCTCATTTCGTACCGGTCTAGGTGAAACATCATTCCTTGCTCATGATATTTTGAATCTAATAACTAAATTTTCACTATGAAGTGCTGTGAGCTGAGCTATTTGATCTCTTTATGTTTCTAAAGTTACATTTATGATAAATACAGGTGTTACTGGCGGAGCATCTGCCGGAAAGACTGCTGTCTGTGATATGATCATCGAGCAACTTCATGATCAACGAGTTGTTGTTGTCAATCAGGTGGGCATAGTTATAATCTGCAAATTTCTGCTTTATTGTTTGTGGAGTTAATTTGATTAGGATTAATAAAAGAGACCAGGCATGTTAATTCAGTATATAAATTTATCTTTTCTGTAGACTTAGGAGAACATTTAACTATATTCTTTACAGTATGAGAATATAGCTGGGAAACCTGGGAAATAAAATTTTGCATCTCATTGCTGCTTTGGAGGCTTACAGAAACCTGGGAAATAAATTATTGCAGCATTCTTGCGTCTCATTTGTGAAGTTTGTCACATGGAATTCCATCTCTCAGAATTTTGCCCATACCAGGTGGCATTCCAATCCGAAGTTCCGAACCATCTAGACAACCCAAATTTGGATAGAATTAACATACCAGATGTAGCTTCTTTGAAATTTTGTGGTTATTCAATTAAAAATCAGAGTACTAGAATTAATTTATCTTAAGAGGACACACCAGACTGGCCTTGCTAAACGTAGAATTGTCGTCTTCTGAGCACAAAGCAACTCCTTTTCTCCATTTGCATTTTATGGTATACTAATTTCCCAACAGGTGAGAATCTGGTATGGGTTGGTATTTTAATCCTTGGTTTTACTTCATTCCAAATTTCATTAATCATTTCACTTGTAAATTGATCTGTTTATGATAATATAGTATGATTGTGAATGAAAATTACGTCTTGGCTTGTTATATGAGGCCCTAAACTAACAAATGATACACATAATTTGGTTGTTTTTCTTATAGTGTATTGGAGCCGTCTGAAACTCTCTAACATGTAATCATATTGTTTATGAAAAAGATAACATCTGGTTATTATAGGCATAATTTCAAATAGCGCTTGGCACGCACTGGGCCCACCGATTTTTATTAGTCCAAGCTAGCTCTGGTATGGTTTGGTAACAATCCATATTTAATTTTTTAATATTATTTTCATCTTTTGCCTAATACCAAGCGGCATGGGTTGATATACCATCTAGTGCACCAGTACCAGTCTAGTGGTCTACCAAAACTGGTAGTAGGGACTTATTATCTTCAATGTAACACAGTAGATGAGTAGCAAACCAATATATGAATAATCTTGGTCCACTACAAGCCCAATTAAAGAGGTAGGTCCTTGGTTGGCTGAGTAAGAACCTTCAGATGAGACAATTACAAAACACAATTAATGGTGGTTAGTAATAAGAGAAGAAGAACTTTCTTATTAGGAACAAAGAAATTGGCAAACAAGGGCGATGGAGAGGAAATCATTTCCATTGATGAATGGATAACAATCATGTGAGAGAAGTAAAAAGCGGGCAACCCAATATATCAGGCTCCTAAAAGATGTAGAATCTGGGAAGGGTTGATGTTCACAGACTTACTCTTGCAAGGAGTGAGATTGTCTTTACGACTTGGACCTACTCTTCTCGAGAGTCTATCTATGACTAGAACCCTTGTCTCACCTAGGTACCAAGGAGCATTGTTTTTGTGATGCCAAGCATCACCCTCTATCACATGAGTGAATTGATTTTGTATTTAAGTTTCCTAAAAGGAATTGGTGTACCAGTCCTTATATCACGGTTCTTCATTTTGTCCAGATTATCAGGCGATACATACTGGTTTGATGGCCTGATGGGTTGATGGCATGAAGCGCCGTAATGCCTTTCAACCATGTTTATGCTCAAATCTTAAAAAAAATTCCATGCCATGTGCTAATATTTCATGTCTCAGAATTCTGTTATGTAAGAGACCCGTATCTGTCCAAGCGAGGATTGACTCGAGTTCAGTACTCACAATGTCAAACCATGCCTTGTAGATATTAACAAGGATTTTAATTTCGAATGATACCGCTTGTACTAGGTAGTACATATCGGTCTGCCAGCAGATTACTCGCTACCGTGTGGTACCGTGGATTTAGCCCCGTATCGGGTAGTAACGGTCGATATTTCAATCGTTACCGCTCGAAACAGGTCGGTAACAGTTAATTTCGACTGCGCCGCCCGCTATCGGGCGATATCAGCCTGGTTACGGCCTAGCTGCGGCGAAGGAAGAACAAGCGTTGAGAGAGAAGAGGGGGAAGGTGCTCGAAGAAGAGGGAGAATCTGGAGAATCTCGACGCTTCCCGATCCGGCGCCACCCTCCCTTGATGATCCCGATCTCGGAGGTAACAGAGAGGCGGCGGCTTGGCTTATATCATTTGTGGTTAATAGTTATTGGGTGCCATGACTAAGGACTATAACAAGTAGGGATAGGCAATATATGAAGCCTAGCCATCCATATTATTGTTCTAGGTCTCAAAATTTAGAAATTTATCATATCTACTCTGATCTTCATCTTTTATCACCAAAACTCTTCTACATGTGGATTTGGCGATTAGCTCATTTTAATTAAAACATTCTGCAGATATTTTGGAACAATTTTTTCATTTTATAAGGAAGAATAAAATGTTAGGTTCATATTCTCCATTAGTTACATAAGTAGAATAGTTAGTTTTTCGCTCGCTCATGTGCTTGTGTGTTAGCTGATATGTTACTTGTCAGAACACTAATAAGTAATAACTATGTTTGAGGAGAAGTTGATGTAAGTGCATTATATATGGCTGATTTGTTTTTGTTGGTTCATAATGTCTTGCACAGATAAAGTATATAAGTGGTAACTAATCCATGGGTGGGCATGATATGGCAGGAATCTTTTTATTATGATTTGACAGAAGAGAAGCTGAATCATGTACATGAATATAACTTTGACCATCCAGGTACTATGATATTGTTTCAAAAGTCTCTAATAATGATGGTCTATATCACATGAATAAAATTTATTCTTCAAATTATAAATCACTGATTGATTGCCCGCAGATGGTTATATACATTCCTTTGTTTTGTTATAAACTATTTGGCCAATTTTTCATAAATTATTCAAATTTGTCATGTTTCATTCTTATTACTTGTGTTATGTAATACATCTACCTGCAAAAAGAAAAAGAAGCTGCTTAACAAATTTTGAGATATTAAACAAGAGAACTGTATTGGTATTGAATATGCAACCAAGTCTTGTGTGGACTATAAAGTTCTAGAATAAATGTCTCACATTCAGCCCCTTGAGTCATTTGTTATGCAAATGAATCACAAAATACCATATTAAAACAATTTCCAGATATGGTTAAGCATAGTTGCAGACTTGCAGTATTCATTTGTCAGAATGGTCCTAAATTACACTAAATGAAATAATCAGAAGATTCAAAACATTTGGTAGTAAATATTCAAAACGTTAATTAAACCCTCAACTTAATTGGGATCAGCTTTTCTTTTTTCTTGGAAGACTTTTGCCTCCTTAAATATCTGCATGTCTCACTTAATATGGCACTTCCTGAGCTAGTAAAGGATATATTTACTACACATCCATAAATGTAGTCAGATTGTCCTTAATCTTGCGTATTTCTCTATTTGAGTGATATGCATCTTCATTTTTGTATCTCTGACAGTCATTTTTATGATAGTCTCTTTCTTGGTTCAGATGCTTTTGACACTGAAAACTTGCTTTGCTGCATGGAGAAGTTGAGGCATGGGCAGGCTGTTGATATCCCAAATTATGATTTCAGAACTAACAAGAGCAAATTGCCACCACGAAAGGTATATCTAACATATTAATTATGCTTGATACAATGCATATATTATATTCAACTTCACATGTAAATATGGTTATTGCAGTACAAATTTGCAAGAATCCATAATTGTTGCATGAATTTTCACATGCAAAACTAAAGCTTTGTCCTTTTAAAATTATAGACCTAGATTACCTTTAAACAAAACTGAGTTAATTTTCTTGGTTAGCTTCAAGTAAAATTCAATGCATGATACTTTTTGAAGCTTTTTCTTCTTCTAAATAATGGAGCAAGATATACTAATATCCAAAGTTCACCTTATCTGTCCGAACCAGCATGCTGGTTGGCCGGCCACATGGTACATGCCACCTCATATCGGTGTGTCGAGTGTTATTACGGTAGGGCATGCCGATGGCATAGAAAAAGGCCAAAAAGAATCTCAACAAATATCTAAAAAATAAGAAAAAACTTAGATTAGGGTTTTTTATTTGGAACTAAATGTAAATTTAGTAAAATTGTACCAAAAATCTTCTAAACTAGGAAAGAATAGTGACATATTTTTTTAGGTTTTGAGGAGCAACTTTGTGGCATGTTTTGGACCATCCTTCCCTTGATATTGAAGTATCTAGAAAGAAATGATTTGAATTGTTAGATTTTGAGTTAAACATTAATATTTAAATGAACCAAGTAATAAATGGATCGATCGATGGATCAGTGATTTAAAAAGGCGCTCGGGCAAGGCGAGGCCCTAGTACCTCATTTAATGGCCAGGCGACGCGCTTTAAAAGGGCGTCGCCTAGGCACTCGCTTGAGCCCAGGAATCGGGCACTTCGGGTGAGTGCCCGATTTAAACCAGGTAACCGATCGTAGCAACGCCAGTGGAGAGAGGTAGTGAGCGCCCGATTAGTTGGTTCGATTAAACCAACTAATGCATGCATATCAATCTCCCCCTCCTCGCGACTTCCCCTAACCTTATGCCCGATTCCGCTACCTCTCTCTATCGTTGCTGTTGCCTCTCTTTGCTATTGCTGTTGCTGCTGCCATTGCTACTCTTCGCTGCCGTTGCCGCTACTCTCCACTGCCACTACTGTTGCCATTGTTGTTGCTGCTACCTCTCTCCATTGTCGCTGTTGCTCTCTGCTGCTACTGCTCTCAAACAACAACCTCATATCCGTGACTCAATTCTCATCGTGACTCAGCTTCTCACCTCGCTCTCCTTCTCACACTTTACTCTTCTCTACTATTGTTAACGGTAGAAAATATTTTAAAATATTAAAATATATTTTTTTTTATTTTAATATTTTAAATATATATTTTTTATATTTTAATATTTTAGAGTACCTTGCTTCACTCGGGCGAGCGCCTAGCGCTTTAGGTGTTTTGGGACCCTGACGCTTTTTGGCATTTGACGCTTTTTAAATTACTGCGATGGATATCTCTCGTTCTACCACCAAAAAGAATGACGGGACTTCACGATCGACAGATCGATGTCCTCGATCCTATGTATTTGTATATCAATATGATATGAGTCTTGAAATTGATTCCATGAAGGTATACTAATACACTGTATGTTATTGGTGCATCAATGTGGTGATGGTCGTAGTTTGATCATTGTAAACCACACATATCCAAGGCGGCTCCTAAGACAAGGACGATTGTGGCATGTATTGGTGCGGGGGTTGGAGAATGCCATAGCTAAGCTACTTTCGCATCATAAAATACATTAATTACAGTGTAAAAAATTTAATTTCTAGTTAGCCTTTTTTTACCACTATAAATATGTCAAACACCCTTAGAGGTATTAAATTTATAAATTTGATATAATGTAGATTAAATTACGATAAGATCATCATTAAATACACCAATCACAGCATTAATATGGTTAATTATTCCCTAATTAGTCCTCTTTCATCGTTATAAATATATTAAACACCCTAATAGGCATTAAATACATTGAATTGACCTCAAATTTCTATTAAATTATCATTAAAATCACTAATCACAATATTAAGAAAACTTAATTGAAACTTAATTTAAACCTCTTCTACCATCACAAACATATTTATCACCCTAATATGCAACAAATAAAGAGATTTCACCCAATATGTGTTTAATTTTGATTAAATCAGCATTAAACACACTAATCACAGCATTAAAGGCCTTAATTACTCTCTAATTAAGCCTATTCTACTGTCATAAACATGCCAAACAACATATTAGACGTTGAGAACATAAAATAGGCTTAATCATCTCATAAATCAATAAAAAACTACAACAAGAATGCATACATTTAATTAGTATTCTTCCTCTTAGGCATTAATTCTCCAAATTAGTTTTTCAAACTTGATCCAATCTACAAATCATAGCTTTATTGAGTTTAAGAGAGTGCAAATATAAGAGTGAGAGAAAGATGTGCATAAGAAGGAGATTGAGAGAGTAGAAGAGTTTGAGAGGGAAGTGAATGAGGGGGTAGAAAGGATTTAAAAACCCTTGGATCTAGTTCAAACGGTCAAAAGGACCATTTGAATTCAACAAATCCCAACCCTTTATAGGTAATGGTCGAAATTCAATCGTTACTGACTGGTATAGATTAGTAATGATTGGATTTCGATCGTTCTGCCCAGTACAAACCTTGTATCGCTCGATACAGGGTCCCCTATTATGGACCGCCTGGTATAGGGTGGTCCATGTGTTGATACCTTGTCAGATTGATACGTATTGCACGGTATAGGTCGGTACAATGAATCTTGCTAATAGCCTCTAAATTTATCTTGAAATTGTATATACTATAAATTGTGATAAAAATAATATCCTTTCTATTTATCTCTGACAAATGACCTTTTCTCTATTTTTCAAATAAATTTAAACTTGTCAATATATTAAACCCAAACTTCATAATTTTCTTTCCAGGTCAATTCTTCAGATGTAATAATCTTGGAAGGGATTTTAATATTCTATGATATACGTATTCGAGAATTGATGAACATGAAGATCTTCGTTGATACAGGTTATATTTGTTATCTTCCTTCATATGCAAATATTTACATGCATAATGTATCATACGAGCGATGATTCATGTATGACATTGAGTGTAAGCCTTACAAGAACTTTTCCATTTCAATTATATCATTCTTTATATTTAGACTCTTCTTATTCATGTAGAAGATCTTTCCTGCAGATGCTGATGTACGGTTGGCAAGGAGGATAAGACGTGATACTGTTGAGAAGGGCAGAGATCTCAAGACAGTACTCGATCAGGTTAGAGATTTTCATTTAGAATATTTTTACTGAAAACATCCATGTCTCAAAAAATTGATTCCTTGTTGGATGTTAGTTGACAAGTTAAGTTCAGTTGGTATAGGACTTGTTTTCTGGTTTTCTTTACAACTATCAACACATTGTAATAGATGAATAATCCATTTGTAAAGAGAAGACCTTTAACAGTACCTGATTATGAGCTTTAGCTTAAAAAAGTTAGTTAATGTCTATGAACTTTCATTACATGCAAATTCTGTCCTGGCTCACCTGGAAGGAAAATAAAAAATTTTCAATTTCAGGCATAACGTAAATTTGGCTAATGTGTTTTCTTTTCCTCACATTGTTGATCTTCATATAATATAAGAATACCTTATTGACACCTGTTCTATCCTTGTATTCACATAGTGAATGGTTTAAATAAAAAAATTTATACATGGACTCATGGACAATTGTCATAATTAATTTTTCAAAACTTGTGCATTAGAAGTAGTGTTGAATTTGGAAGCATGCGTACCATAAGTGGTTATGTTAGTTTCAGTAAATGGCAAATCGGTTGAGAGTATAGTGTTTTATACTCTTAGAATATTATTTAGTACTGAGAAAGTAAGAAAAAATACACCCAAAGATATATAAGAATGTTGCAATAAATTTGTTGTACTTTAAAGTAGGGTTCACTGTATCAAGTTGTGCCGTTTGATATAGGCGGTCCATACTGGTCCGAGAGGGGACTGGTACACGGACTGTCCTCTACCAAGCAATACCCGTTACATGACCTTATATCAAGCGATACAGGGTTTGTACCAGTTGGTAATTGTTAGATTTCAATCATTACTGATCAAGGGCTCTGATTGCCCTATTTCAAATGTTTATTTGATTATTTGAAACATAGGAAAGGGATTTTAAAGACTTTTGTTCGCCACAGTCATCCGCGTAATATATAAAGGCAAAGGCAAAGGCAAAGGGGAATGCAGTAGTATCAGCTATATTGTTGGAAAGAATCGAGTTAGGTAATAAAATATCTTAATCGTATTCAACAACCCATTCGGTCCAGAGACATGATAGTGATGTTGATAGTAGTGCCTTGACTGATGACGGCGGCAACGCCGGGGAGTCGATGGTCTCGTCTATACAATTTGAGGGTGGTGCATAGACCGAGGATTAGTATTTTACGCATGACACTCAAGATTCATATCATAGAGCTCAATAAGGTACTGGTCAAGTTTATACATGAAAGGGAAAGGGGGAGGTAGTATAATTTTGAGCAGATGCGATAGAGCCTATACGAGGTAGAACACAGAGCGAAGCTCATCGTATTCACAATCATCATATTATGGAGAATCTTACAGCCAACAACAATACGATGATAATTAGTTATACTTTGATCATCAACACATTAATGCACCAATGACATATAATGTACTAGTAAACTATGCCATGGGATCATTTTTAGGATTGAGTCTGACAAATATATCAAATTGATATACAAATACATAGGATCGAAGACCTTAACCCACCACCATGGAGCCCCATCGTTCTTTTTTATGGTAAAATCAAGTATATCCATCGATCGATTACTTGTTTCATTTGTATCTTAAAGTTTAAGTTGTTTAAAAAATAATCTAACAATTCATATCATTTTTTTTGTAAATAATTCAATATTAACTGAAGAAATGTTCGTAATGTACTATAAAGTTGCTCTACAAAGCTCGAAAAAGATATGTGTCACTATTCTTTCCTAATTTAGATTAGTTTTTGCTAAAATTATACTAAATTTATATTTATTTTTAACTTAAAAACCCTAATCCAACCTTTTTCTATTTTTTAGGAATTTTTGGAGCTATTTTTTGTAATTTTACCGTATCGTCAGTATGCCTAGTTGTACTGAAATACTGTCACGGACTTAGCTGGTTTTGCCTAGGTCGTACAGTACCTCTGTGTGTCCATCCGCAAAGGGTCAGTCTTCCCGAAACCTCTTGTGGTCTCTTAAGAACCTACAAAAGAGAAGACAAGTCAGAGAAAACATTTAACTCAGGATCCACAAGCAACCATTTCAGCAAATACTTGGTAGGCAATGCAAATTACAAATATAGATTTTCAAGCTCTAAATAGTCGCGCAACAAAGGGTCAAAGATGGTCCGCCGTGGCTCAAAGTCCCTGCAAGTGCTCACATGACACTATTGTAGAACAACACAAGGAACCAACCTTAGACAATACCCCAAAGGCCCGTCTAGCCATATACCACTTGGGTAGCTCCTGGGTGCTATATTACTACATTCCACACCACTTTGCTGAGATAGAAATCCCCTAAATTGGTTGCCTGGATGGCCTATTTCTGGGTAGTTTTGCCTTTACTCGATGACTGCATATAACTTGCATTTACAAGCTTGAAACAACCATAAAAGCTAATCAAATTGGGGCTGATAAGCCTACTGCAAGCCCGTTATATGCTGTGCAAATCATGATTAAACCCGAAAGATACGAGCATACATGAGCATTATATCAAACACCCATTTTACAACTTTGTCTATGACATTCTCCCCCACTTATTCCTTCGACTTCCTCGTCGAAGCTTTTGGGAATGCTGTATCTCCTCGCTTTTGTTGAATCTTTATTCTTTTGCTCCAACTGCAACACGCCTCTTGGCTCCCAACTACTCTTAGCCGCTATCGTTGAGTAGTCGAACTTTGATCCACCATGGTGCTTCAATCCGCCAATGACTCTGACCCTGATGTAGGGTTAGCTAAATTGCGCTGATCCTTGTTGGTTCCTACAAATCTTTCAGATGAGAAAAAGATCTTCCTTGTTATACTTTAGTCTCTCAAACGTCTTACACCGCTTACAGTCGGTGGATACTTGTTGGAGCTTTAACGAGCATCACCTCACAAACTTTAAAATTTTGGAGTTTTTCCTCTATAAAATTCATCTCACTTTTGCTTTCTATTGGTATTCTGCTGGAAAATGAAGCAAATAGTCTACTCTCAATAGCACCGATCACCACTAGTGAATTATTGTCTTCCACTAAGTATTTTTTAAAGGTCTTTAAACCTGTGCAGAACTCCTTTGCTAGATAAATAAGAGAATTGAGGTACTCGGTTTCATTCATTCTCTTAAGAGTTAAAAAGGCAAAGGTTACTTGACTTCGCTCGCTTCCTCAAGGGTTGTACAACATGCATCGAGCTGGTTACTGGCCTTTACCTGCTCTTTACTCAACACTTCCGAAGCACCCAAAGTATTTGCACTCATTATATTGAGTTAGCTATTACGATTTGTCTTCTCATTACCATTGAACTTTTGGAATACAAGAAGTTTTGCCTTAAAAGAGCAAAATTTCGTCTCGATTTAGAGCAAGCCTCCAATAGTTTTGATCGCCTCTGGGATTGTATCGTCTTTTTCATTATCTCAGTCGCCTATTCTAAGTAGCAAAGGTACAGTATCGTGTATTGCCTACTTTGTTCCTTAGTCGAGCACTTTTATATCAACCCGAAGTCCTCCACTTTTAGCTATTTTGATGAGAAGCTCATTGACACTAGTCTTACGAAGTTCCCTAGCCTCTACCCTTCAGTCTTGTCTTGATACTTTGAGTTTACCTCTACATTCTCCACCTCCTCGGTTGTTTCACGACTAGGTGCTCTCCCTCCATGAGAGCAAGAGATTGATGACTCCACGGAAGTCTCATCTCTGTGGTACCATGCCTATGGCCTTACTATCCATTGCCTCGCATCTACGTCTCTTTCTTCACGATCAGTAGATTCACTTCTGCAGCACTGTGACACTCCTCCGAGTCCATTTCCATTCTAATTGATGCTTGGTTTTGGATAGCTGAGTCCCTCTGGACTCGTCGTCGCTTCCTTGCCATTTGTGGGATAAACTTGGATTGCAATCTCTATGTGTGGCCTCTGCCAACACATTGTAGGGCCTCTACGACCTCCGATTGTGTTCGGTCCTTTGGCAATTGACCTTCGTCCACCTGCTCTCGGGTCACACTCGGACAAAGCACAACACTAGGATAGTTTGTCATTTAGCAGTTCTCGAAGTCCATCGACTTCACTGAAGTTGGTGTGCCATTGTTTGGATCCGGAGCCTCTGCCCCCAACATAATCTCTGCTGTGCACTGCTTCCTTCACGACAACTTAAATGGCAGCATTGCTGTGTACTCTTTAAGAGTACCCGCCTCCGCATCCTCTTGCCCTATGCTAAGGCCTTCTGACCCCAACTTTGCCTCCGCAAGTTGAGTTGCCTTAGTTCATCCGTCAAATGCTTCGTCGAGATGAGGTGCTTGTGCTTCGAAGCTCCGTTCATCTTTAGCACCATGCGGGATGAGTCCGCTCTATCAGAATGAGGGACTCATAGAATAACATAATCCCGCTCTTACCTCTACAAGAGTTCTTGTCCGTGACCTCTGTCACAAATGTATGCATTTCGATTGGGTCGCATTCTATGGTTATGATTCTACTAGATGTCTTTTTCATTCCGTCGAAAATTGATTTTATAGTATAGACGCTTATGACCTCCCCCTTCAAGGAAAGCATCGTGCCTTCACTTTATGTTCCATCTTCTATGTCGACTCCCTTCATGTGGCTTGGACACTTCATCAAGTCCCACCCAAGTTGCTTCGTCCCTTGGTTTGCATTGAATTGATGGTGGCCCTTGCGCCCACCATTCTATGGGTCAGCTCTCCGTTGAGTTTGATTTCTATATCAGCTCTAAGTGTATCTTCATTTGGTGTTGCCTTGGGTCGCTTCCCCACTTGATATCGCAATGCATCCACCAATGCATTACCTCATACGAGATCATGCGATGACTCCTCGCCGCTAGCTCGGTCTATTGAGTTTTGTGGAGTTATTGTCTTGGGGTACCCCTCCTTAACATGTGCGGTCCATTGTACAAGATTCTTTATTTAGAGAACTGTGACTTATTCCTCCTGGATATCTGTCCGGTTGGAGTAACTTTTTTCTTTGTATCTTTCCCTCTAGAAGTTTTAGAGACTATCATCCTCTTGGACTATTTCGCCTTGCTGAACAAATTGTGCATTGTTCACCCTCGCGAACGCATTTGCTAGATTACGACTCTTCGTCAATACAACCCCCGCCGCACCCCTCAAATCCTAGCAACATGCTAAACTTGCTGCACACTTCAGCCTCCTATAGGCACATCCTTCCTATGCCGAAGAGAAAGTTTCATTGCTATATGATGCCGAGTTTCGGTCGCCTTGGGATGGCCACGAACAATCCATCGTCCGCATACAACCCCTTGCACGAGTACCAAATTCTTCAAGTTTGCAATTCCCCTTACCTTTGTTTGCTTTACACAATTCTTTCGGTCGCTAAGCAACCCATCCACCTTGCACGGTCTCATCCTTTGCCAAGCACCTCACTTGCCTTGAGCATCATCAAGTTTGGTTGTTAACGTTGAGCCGTAGCTTAAACTCAGCCATCTCAACCTTTGTATGGTACGCATTCTTTCCAGCTCGCCTGTCCTTATGTTGCCTCTCGCGCGATGTGTTAGTCATTCCTCTGAATGTCAATCTTGGATGCTTGCTCGTCTGAGTGACTCATTTCCCTCAAATGGTCGCGCGTGTTTGTTGCCCTTAATGTAACCCCGTTAGGTCCCCCACATTTGCATGCCAAGTGTTTCTAAGTGTGCTTGTCCTATTGTGATACCATCTATCACAGACTTAGTTGGTTTTGCCTAAGTCGTGCGGTATTCTTGCGTGTCCGTCTGCAAAAGGTCAACCTAAAAGAAACCTCTTATGGTCCCTTAAGGACCTACAAAAGAGAAAACAGATTATATAAAACATTTAACTCAGGATCCATAAGCAAACATTTGATAGGCAATGCAAATTACAAACATAAACTTTGCAAGCTCTGAACGATCCAAGGTGGTCCGCCGTGGTTTAAAGTCCTCATAAGTGCTCACATGACACTATTGTGGAACAATGTAACTAGCCAACCCTAGACAATACCCTAAAAGGCCCATCCAGCCACGTGCCACTTGGGTAGTTCATGGATACTGTATTGGCTAACATTCTGCACCCCTTTGCAGAGCTAGAAATCCCCCAAAATAGTTGCCTAGATGGCTTGTTTCTGGGTAGTTTTGCCTTTGCACGATGACTGTACATAACATATATTTACAAGCTTGAAACAGCCATAAAAACTAACTAAACTGGGGCTGTCAAGTCCATTGCAAGCCCTCTACATGTTGTGCAAAGCATGATCAAACCCGAAATATACAAACATACATGAGCATTGCATCAAATACCTCATTTACAGCTTTGTCCGTGACAATACGGTATGTCGGTACACCTCGGTACATACCGTACCGTTGGCTGGTCGGTATACCGGTACGACCGGTAAGATGAACCTTGCTTTGAAGGACTATTAAAATAAGATCGATGACATGAAAATATTGAGGAACATTTGTGTTTAAATCAAATTATTATATCGTTTTTCCACAGTAAATTGTGCTAGTAGCATAAGAAGTTGGTTCCAGTATGGACTCTATGGGAATGGCCTTCAAAATTCTTTAGATGGTTATGCCGATTAGTTTCTTAGCTCATAGGTGTAGTCACGTAGGAACTGCCCCTTCAGTGGAAGAAATCAACTGAACTCTTTTTTTCACTAGATCTAATAAACCATATTTGATAGTTCAGATTTTAATATTCTCACGAGTCTGGATATGTCCAATTGAATACCAATATTTGTTTGTTTCATTTTTTGGTCATATTATAACTATTATTGCTAATATTGTATTTCATTCATGCAGTACTCTAAATTTATAAAGCCTGCTTTTGATGACTTCATACTCCCAACAAAGAAGTACGCGGATATCATTATACCCCGTGGTGGAGATAATCATGTGGCAATCAACTTAATTGTGCAACATATTCACACAAAACTTGGACAACAGAGTCTCTGTAAAATATATCCAAATCTTTATGTCATCCAGTCAACTTTCCAGGTTATCTAATATGTTCCTTGATACAGTGAATTGGTGATATCATGAATAATTTTCCAAGCATCCGATCATCAATCTGAAATGAACAATTAAATATTAAAATTTTTAAAATTTCAAATCTTTAGCTCTTTTTTAATTGCATGCAGATACGTGGCATGCATACGCTCATACGTGATAATGAAACAACAAAACATGATTTCATATTTTATTCTGATCGATTGATTCGCTTGGTAAGTAAAGTTGTAAACTTTTGTTTGGTTGTAAAGACCTTTCTTGATGGTATTCTAATTGTTTATTCTCTCCTTGTGAAAGGTTGTTGAACATGGTTTAGGTCACCTTCCATTTAAAGAAAAGCAAGTGATCACACCAACAGGTGCTAGTTTCGTCCACTCTCCTGTGACTGTGACAGTAACCAATGCGCTAGTTTAGAAAGTCAATCTTCTTAGTCTTTCATGTAACACATTATGTGTTGTTGCTAATATGTATTCTCTGAATTCATTTAAACCATGCGACATTTTTTTCTGCAGTTTTAGGGTATACATGAACAGTTTTTGAAAGATTTTCTGAAAAAATTGATCCAAGCACCCCATAATAGCATGTTTTATTTTTCTTTGCAGTTCTGTCATGGTCTAAAGTGAATTAGATCTTGATATTTTTCTTGTTTACCAGATCATTAGATCCTTTTATTCAAGGCCCCTAAGACACTGAGACATTATCAAACCAAAGAAAGATTATGATAGAATTACAAAAGTATTGAGATGTTGCTTTCAAAGAATCATCTGTTCAGTTACTCATGAAAGCATTAATGTGAAAATGTGTGTTACATGTTCTAAACAAGGTAGTCAAATAGGGGAGGTGAGAGCAAGAAAAAAATAATGTGGATAAGGAAAATGGTCATGAGATTATCTCATCAATCCCATAGTTATCAAAATGTAAGTTCTTATGTTGGTTCAAGCTTTTTAACATGATTAATTTATTTAGTAATTTTTAAATATATTGTTTGTTATTTCCCTTTGCAAGGTTGTCTTTCAAGTTTTAGAGTAGCAAAATCTAAAATAATCTAAGTTCCATGGCTCTAGTTGTTGACTAGCTGTCAAAACACTACATTATGTGCTGAGATTTCTAGCACCACCAGTGTGCTGTTCCAGCATGAAAAGAAAAAGAAAGAGAAAAAAATGGACCTTTGCTTGGTGTGAGTTGGCCTTGCCTTCAACAGATTGAAGGAACGTCCATCAGCATTATGAGGCCTTCAAAAGGAGAGGACTCATGGCATAATTCAGCAATCTTCTCTCATCCAGGCTTTCTCTTACTCAGCTGCAATTTAAAGTGACAAGGTGACACAGAGCATCAACATGTTGAGGCGGAGCTTTGCTCATGACATTGTAGGAATCATAACATATAACTTGTCAATGTCTTGTCATTTTACAATTCAATCGCCAATTCATTTGCAGAGCTATTTACTTGATCAGAGCCATTTCTGCGATAAATGATCAAACTGGCCTCTTATTAAGATATCTGATTTAGAAGGGAAGAACTTGCATCAATATCTAAGTTCCAGACCCGATATGAGTGCCACATACTGAATTTTAGTCTCTGGTTTGCTTTTAAAAGGTTAAAAACAACCACTAAAATCCCAAGTAAACCGTATTAAAATCCCAAGTAATGAATTTTAGTCTCTGAAGTCTGAACTAATTGTTCATCTTTAAAACTGTGCTGTTTTCCCTGAAGGCATACAGTAAGATATTGATAAGCTTGAAAATTGAAACTATGGTTTGTCTAGAAAAGAACATAATCAAAAAAGGTAAAAAGGAAGGTGCTATGTAAATATGTCATTTTATTTTTTCTGTTGGGAGAACTTGGAAGTCCTGAGTGCTGAGTGATTATTTGACACAGATTTCATTGGCTTTAGTTCTAATATCTTTATGCAGTTATTCTGATAACATTTTATTATCTGAAATTTTAGTTGTTGAACTACCAGACTTTACTTTATTTTTCAAAATATTTTTGATATCCTTCATAAAGATTATCATTGCTTAGTTATGACTCCATGTTCATTCAGTATACTGCTGAGGTTGATGTTTAAGGTTTCGTTGTACTCGTCTTCAAAACTTTCCAACATACAGCAATATGAAGTGTTTCCCTTTTAATTGAACCTGTTCTTTGACCTCTCCATTTACATAGTTATGATTGTTGTAGCATTTTTCTAAATGCACTTACTATTTCATATTCCTGACTATTTCCTTAGACTGCTGGCTTGTATATATCCCATTCCTGTTGGCTGTTCAGGAAACGTAAAGTATTTTGAAATCTTTATGCACCATTGTGGGTCTATCTTTCAGCTTCTTTCTCGAGACATATTCTTAAAATATAAGTTGCTTCTTGCCATTCTGATTATTTGCTTTATATGAAAATGTTGATTAGGAATTAATGCCTTATAAGTGTTCCTCATGGATATCTGCAACTTTTATCTTTATAACTTTGCGATGAATTATCTATAGATTTTTTTTTGTTGCAAGTATAGCAATGCACATATAATGCTTCATTTTCTTCAGGATCTATTTATACTGGGGTAGAATTCTGTAAAAGGTTATGTGGCATTTCCATCATCAGAAGGTATTTTTCTCTTTTGTTTTCAGGAATCATTGGCTTCAATTGAATTTATCATAAATTAAATCATTGATTTCTTTGATTGAATTCAGATGTCAAAACTTACAGCCATATAATCTTGTTTCTTCTGCTCAAAGAAAAAATAATAGTAATATAGATAATCTTGTCTTTATTATATTCATATTTCTAGGCTCCAAGTTTAATGTGGATCATGAAAGAAAGTACTGTTAAAAGTTTTCGTAGCAGCCTTCACCTATTTTTAGTTCAGCAAGCATCATTTTTTCTATCTACAAAATGGTTTATGTATAATGTATATTAGCAATTTTGCTTGTCAGTTTACTTTTGCTTATTCTCTTGGACCTCTGTGATGTATACCAGTGGTGAAAGTATGGAGAATGCTCTGCGGGCATGTTGTAAAGGCATTAAGATTGGGAAGATCCTTATACATAGGGAAGGTGATAATGGCCAGCAGGTTCGCATGAAGTTGTCAATCAGAAAGGGATTTGCTCTGACTGATTTTCTGACAATGTTATTTTTTTCCAGTTAGTTTATCACAATCTTCCGAACGACATTGCGAATAGGAATGTTCTGCTTTTGGATCCTATACTAGGCACAGGTTGGTCCATCTAAATAGAACTGGTATATGGAAACAAAATGCTTTGTGATGCCCAAATGTGTGTTACTTTATGGAACAACAGTCTGCGACTTCCTGATGCTTCTGATATATGTTTCATTTTGTGTGGGTTGTTAATTAGTTTCAAACTCCAGTGTTTAGCTTATGGTATCAATATTTCTTGATCAGTAAATACTTTCATCCTGATAGCTCAACTGACTTTAACAGGTTTTCTTGAAGTTTTCTGGTGCTTTTATAATTTATCATGATTTATTTGATCCTAGGTGAATGTGGAGAGAACAAATTAATATTTTGTGAACTCATTTTTATAAATTTAATGCATGTTCTACATTTCTCTATTTTCCATTTGGTAATTATGGATGAAGAATTTCTCTTTTTTTTACTTATTCTTAAACCATCTCGCTCACGCATGTTCATCTTCTATCATCACTGGTATTGATGTCACCACATTTTACTACCTGCCTTCTTCATCTCTAACCACCAATTTGGCATAGTCATCCACTTTCTCAGTATTTGGCACAGTAGCCCTCGCACGAATGAATTTTCTTTTACTGTTGTTTTGCTTCTTTGCTCCTAATGTCTCCTTTTTCAACCACATACATAACTGATGAGAATAATCCACTATGGTTATGTTTCTATGGTTGCACCATTTACAGTATTGTTAGGTTTTATTACAGAATGCTGATGGATATTGTCGTTTGCTTCTTTGTTTCTAATGCTTCCTTATTTTCAACCACATACATAATTGTTGAAATTAGTTCACTATGGTTATGTTTCTATGATTGCACCATCTAGAATGTTCTTAGGTTTTATTATAGAATGCTGAATTTGATACATAATCCTTAAATTGTGATGGATGTTTTCAGAAATATCATTGCAATTGAACATGTTAGTAGTCATCGAAGAATGAAGGTCATGCTTATCTTTATTGTTTGACTAAATTGACACTTCATAATTTTGAAGTATTTATGGACCAAGTGGGCCAATGGTAGTGGGCGGCAAGCAATTGGCTGATGGCTATCGGCAATTGGCCAACAAGGACCATTGGAGGGTCAGATGGTGATTTAATAACAGTGGGTAAGGGGCAGAGTATGGCATAAGGAAAAAACTCAAACCCTGAGCATGCTAGGAGAGAAATATAGAAGCCATTGTTTAAAATTCTTAAACCCACTATTTAGAAAAATGTAAACTGGGTTGGATTGCCCATGCATAGCAGACTGGTAACTATTGGTCAGTGGTACTTGTCTGGTAAAATTTTAATCCCTTGTCGGACCGATATATACTGCTCGTATCGAGTGGTACAGGTCGATATTGCAAACCCTGGTGTGATCTACCTAGCTTTACAAATATCCATAACTCCTTATAGCCTTAGTAAATATATCAAATCATGCTTTAGGAGATTGTTTTAGCCCATAGAGTGACCTCTTTAGCTTGCAGACTTTGTCACGTCCTAATGTTCCTTCAAAACCTGGAGGTAGATTCATGTAGACTTCCTCTTCTAATTTGTCATCAAGAAATGCATTCTTCACATCTAATTGCTGTAGAAATTAGTTAAAAGTTCTTGCAAGAGATAACAGGACTCGAATGTTGTTTATCTTTGCCATAGGTGCAAAAGTCTTTTGATAATCTATACCAAATGTTTGATTGTATCCCTTACCTTGTTTTATTTCGCTCAATCAGTGATTTAAAAAGGCGCTCGGGCGAGGCGAGGCTCGAGTGCCTCACTTCATTTCCAGGCGGTGCACTTCAAAGAAACGCCGCCTAAGCGCTCGCCCGAGCCCAGGCGCCGGGCGCTTCGGGCGAGCGCCTGGGTTAAACCAGGCGACCGAACCAGCGGTTTAGGTCTGGTTCGGTCTCCGGTGCTTTAGTTGGTTCAATCGAACCAACTAAAGCATCAATATCAACGCGACTTCATCAACCCTAACCCCGCTCGCCGTTCACGCTACTTGCTACCGCTGCCACTGTCGCCGCTCGCTGCTGCCGCTGCCACTATTGCCGCTCGCCGCTCTCGCTGCCACTACCACTGCTCGCTTTTACTGCTGCCGCTACCACTGTCACTGCTCGTCGCTCCGGCTCCCGCAGCTGCTGCTCGCTACTATCGCTGCCTCTATCGCCGCTCCCGCTCCCGCTGCTCGCTGCTACCGTTGCCGCTGCCACTGTCGTCGCTCGTCGTTGTCGCTACCATTGCCGCTCCCGCTTTTCTCAGCACCCTCGATCTTCTCTTACACTCTTCTCCTCTCTTTCGCTTCTCCTCTTTCGAAATCGAAAGTATACTGTATACTGTTAACAATATACTGTATAATGTTAAAAGTATACAATATACTGTTATACTGTATACTGTTAACAGTATACAATATACTGTTAACTGTATATAGTATAACACTATTATTTTGATTTTAATACTATTAATTTTTATTTATTTGAAATTATTGTTAATTGTATACAGTATAGCAAGTGTACATTGTGATTTTGTATCTTAGATTTTCTTAATTTAATAGCATATTTTTTTAAAATTTTAAATAATTATATTTATTAATTATATTATATATTTTATATTTTAGCGTCTCACTTCGCTCGGGCGAGTACCTAGCGCCTCGGGCGTTTTTGGACTGTGGCGCATTTTGGCGCCTAGCCCTTTTTAAATCACTGCGCTCAATTTACCCGTTAGCTTATATTTCACTTTGAACACTCATTTATAGCCAACAAGTCTCTTTCCTTTACGTAAATTTACAAGTTTCCAAATGTCCTTCTCCAATGCCCTTATCTCTATGAACTGAGCCTTTTTCGACTCGACTATCGCTAGAGCTTCCTGTATGGACTTAGAATATATGTGTTTGACATGTTAGAAATAAAGGATCTGAAAGAGGAGGGCAATCTATGATACGACACAAAATTGTAAATAGGATGAATAGTATATGATCTCGTTCCTTTTCTAAAAGCAATTTAGAACATTAAGTTCTTGAAACTCACAAGGTTTAGAAACCTTATAAATAATCAAGTATTCATTCTCTTTTAACAAGCAATAGATGAATCTTCTCTGCAGTCTTTAATCAATAATTTAGAGGAAGGAACCCCTATAGAGTTCCAAGGAGGCCGATCCCCTAAAGAGATCAACCCTAAGCTTAGAATCTACAAGGGTTCTAACAGAGGTTTACTTATGATAGGAATGAATTCTAAAGGAGAATTCATAGGTAGGGTTATAATAGTTTCTCAAAACTTCTCTTCCATGTGATTCTCCTCTTGAAGAGAAATTAAGGAGAAATAAGACTGATTTTCAAAAAAGGTGACATCCATACTTACATAGAACTGAGTTGTTGAGAAGCCTAGAAAGAACACATTTTTTACTTGTAGATCAAGTTTGGTGCGATTATGACTATATATATGAATAAATGCTATGCAACCAAACACCTTTGGAGGCAAATTACTAAAGATTCAGGTTTGTCGATAGGTTTGTAGGAGGATGTTTAGAGCAGGGTCTGCCGTACCGAGCCGTACCGCCCGGTACGGGCGGTACATACCGGTCCGACAGGTTTTTGGTATGCGGACCGACTGTTACCGGTTCGAGGCACTGTAGCACTGTAGCACTGTGAGACAGGGCTTACCTAGTGGGCCCCATGAACTAGGCTTCTCATTTGATTTAATTTCAGTAAAACCCAATTTTCCTTTTAGTTGTTACCCTAATAAAAATTCTAAAAACTCTCCCGACTGTGCTCCTCTCTCTCTCTCTCTCTCTCTCTCTCTCTCTCTCTCTCTCTCTCTCGTGACTGTCTTTGCATCGTTTGCCACTGCCCGCCCGCTGTCATGCTGCATGGCACTCTTGGCCATGCTGAGACGGTACTTCTCATCCACCTCCTCTTTTGTGGTTGTCACCTTATTCTCTTCTTATTTGCCCCTCCCCTCTTCTCGATTACCTCCTCTGCTCCTCTTCTCTGCCTCTTCTGTATCGTGTAATACTTTACTTGTATAGAAAGAGGCAAACATTTGAGGGATACAGACTATTAAGATACTTGAATATGTCCAGTAGTCACATAGAAAAGTGAAATGAATTTGGAACCAGGTTGATCTAGATCTGATTGTGGGAAAATGACTAACTTCTGCTCAGATATAACAATACCCATAGATAAACAGCTTGCATGATTAGTTCCAGTTATTGTCCACAATCTTCTAACCGATAAAGCTCGTCTTCGGTTGAGAATGGAAGGACTTTCTTACATTGCCATATATTATTATCACTACTTCCTTTTGAAACAAGGAAAATCATTAGTGGGGCTGTGATAAACAATTTCTCATCATGTGAATGAATACAATTTTCCATTGGTCAGATGTAGTAACACAGGTAGGAGAGAGTTTCCTCTCCTTAACCCTCTCAGATAAATCAAGGTTTCTCTGTGCGCCTGACCAAATGGCAACTTGGACTCTCCCTTCATTTATGCTGAAGCTGTTTTTGTGTCTTATGTTTCATATAAACACCAAAAAACAGGTGTAAAATCTTTCTAATAGTGAATACTATAGTTACAGATTTTCTTATACCTTGTTCAGGAAGGACCATGGGTAGGATTAAATGTCAATATTAAATCTGCAGTTAACTAATGTTAGGTCTATAGTTATAGATTTTCTTTATATGAATATCAGGACATCAAGTTATTGCAAAAATTTGAGCTGCATGCATTGGCATCTCAGAGTTTCCATATGCCTTCCATTGAGATGCTTTTTCTTCTCTTCATTTGATGGCTTACATGTGGAGTGATCTAGGAAAATCAAGTTGCTTGACTTGTTACCTTCACATGGATTTACTACTGACCAATTCTTCACTATTGTAGGGAACGCTGCTGTTCAAGCTATTTCCTTGCTCTTGCAGAAGGGAGCACAAGAAAGTAATATAATATTTCTCAATCTCATTTCTGTAAGTCTAGTTATTTCTGTGTTTTATTCACTCATAAATTTCATTTGTTTCATAAAATAATTTTATCCATGATTCACCTTATCGATCTGTACCAGTATACCGATTGACCATCGGCATGGTACATACCGAACCATACCGACACATGGTATGATGGGACGTATCGATAGACCAGGATGTACTACCCATATCGGTCCCCTATCGGACCGATACGTATTGTCCTTATCGGGCAATATGTCACGATATGATGAACTTTGCTTTTATCTATGCTAAGACAGGTTATTAGTCCCACTAAAAAGAGGATCTTTCCTTTGTCAGATGTTTGCAAGAATATAACCACCATCAGTGCATGCTTAACTTGGTTTCTTTAATGTGACTAGGCTCCTCAAGGAGTGCATGTTGTTTGTAAAAGATTCCCAAGAATCAAGATTGTGACTTCTGAGATAGAGTCTGGTCTATATGAAGATTTTCGTGTGTTTCCTGGGATGGGAGAGTTCGGAGATAGGTATTTTGGAACAGATGATGATTAGGCGACATTCTTCTCAGCATAACTCTTGAGGAGGCTCATGCTGAACCCAGTAAGTTAATCCTCGAGTAAAAAGTAACAATATACAAGTAGCAGCATCAAGATCATGAATTCTGGACTTATGCTTCATAAAATTCAATTTTAAAATTAGTTTTGCCGGTCATCATGCATCTGTTTCATGCAAGTTGGACTATTCGTTCTATCGAACCTCGTATTTGTAAAATATGGAAAGATAATGCATTAAGTAAATCCAGTCTATCGATGGCAATGTTCTGTAACATCTGAGGCTTACTTACTTTTATGAACAATGCACTTCATGAAGATTGCACGAATATGAAACATATAACTTTCCTATCAAACATGAAGTAAATTTAGTGAACAATAATGATTTTCTCTAAAGTCACTCGCTCACAAACAAGTTAACAGTATTTACGATTACGGCTAAATATTTAGAGTTCTAGGGTTGTTGAATATGTGGAAGAGTGATTCGCTTAAAACGTTGTTACGATTAAGATTCTAATATTGCTTCAAATAAACATTGGATATGTGATTGATATATATGGTTTGGTTTTGTTGACATCCTTGCAGATATTGATAATATTTTTCGTGCTAGCGAACACCGGGGGAAACATCCACACTACATTGGCGGCAAAATTTTTGGTACTTGTGATTTTTTTTTTTTTTTCTAATTTCTGTTTCTTACTTATGCCTATGCAAATAAATATTCTTTATATTGAGAAAAAAAAAAAAGTAACATTATTTCATGCTTCAAATATCTATTTTCAGCGTCATATCGATTCCTTTCTGAAACGCGTTCAACTTCATCTTAATATGGTGTCTCATCTGAGAGTGTTTATATAGAAGATGATCTCAATAGAAACACTCCGTGGACTTGCTTTTGTCATTCATTGCCAAGTGGTATTATTAGGTGATTAAGCTCCGTGGACTTTGAAAAAGCATCTACTCTACATGCCAACAGCATTCCCGTGGATAGGGATAGAGATAGAGATAGAGATAGAGATGTCGTCGTGCCTTAAACCAAACTGTCATTCCAAGCGCCGCATCAGGAACACGCGAATAACCTGCAGCAAAAGGGATTGCTGGAGCACAAAACTTGGTATTGTGAACATAATTATGCAAAGGAGTTGGTTGAAATAATGAATGCCGTAGTTCATCGACATCACTCAAATTAATAAACTCGATCCTCGCATCGTTTGTCAAGGCGACCTTTGCCTTTGCTTCAAGGGGGTCATCAGAGTCTCATGGAGCCAAGATTCAATATATCTCAATTTCCGAACCTATATGGGTGAATCTGTAGTCCGCTACATACGCACGCTACACAATATCAACCAGAAAGAGAGAGAAAGAAGAGGAAGAGGAAGAGGAGGTATATAATAATTTTATTTTCTTTAATTTCCTTGATTAGAAGCCATCAGAATAAAAACTCACAAGTTGCAAGAATAATTTATCATATATAAAAAAAATATATTCAATCAGTCAGGATTGAAATCTAGATTATCATAGATCAAGATAAGGCATAGATATCATTTGACGATATTATAAACTAGATACAACGAACTTTGTTTTGTTTGCTAGATTTGTTATCCTGTGTGTCATCTTTTTTGTGATGAAGCCAAACATATATATAATTTGATTGATTGTTCATATGCTATAAACTATTGGGCTTCGATTCGATGCAAAGATAATTAATTTTTTTTTACTTTTGGAGGCAAATGTAAATGTTTGTTTATTATATCTGTCTTGGCACAATAATATGGTTGTTCCTTTACTACCTTACCTGAGAGACAAGAATTCAAATCATAAAAATCGTCTCTTTTAAATGCATGCTTAAAACAAGAATTGAAGTCATGATGAACACCGAGTCTCTTTAAATCTAGATTTAAAGTTAAAGGATCGATACATTATTTTATATAAAATATTTATTCATGCATTATAGTAATTAGTGCAGATTAAAATTTTTGATGTATGAGGGGGTTTCGAGGCAATTTCTTTGACCTTCTTCCCTACCTACATGTGACGGATGTGGTGGACGTAAAACTTTTAGATGACAGTGCACGTCCAAAGCATAGAGGCCCTTTTTACTCGTTTAATCCAAGGAAAGAAACATTGGATTGGTTTAATTAAGAATGTGAACCAGCTGATTCCTCCTCGGTGAAAGTCCATAAAAGCATCCCACGCGTTATGCAAGCACGATGTATAATAAACCACTAAATTCCTTTTTTGTTTTCTGTACATACGAAGAGAGAAGGAAATTTGACGACGAGATGCAGACGTAGCTTAGCTTCTCTCGGTGGATCTATTCCTCCACCTGCCATTGACCCAAAGACATCATGTCAGAAGAAGAAGAAGAAGAAGAAGAAGAAGAAGAAGAAGAAGAAGAAGAAAGGTCATCTACCTTGTTGTTATGGGGTGAGGAGGTGCCCAACTTGACCCCATACTTGATGAGCTGCTCCCTCACAAACCTTTCGTACATGAAGGACGCGCCCCGGAAATGGGGGAGCACCAACCAGGCCACGAAGATCACCTTTATCTGATACCAGACGGGTATCCTTGGCACACTCGACGACATCACGTATTTAGTTCCATGCAATGTGATGTTCAACTCACAAATAATTTAATCGATCATCATATCAATGTGTGTAAAATGATCGTTACCAGTATAAGACGGGCTCAGCCACCATCTCCATGAGAGTTAGGAAGGAGTACAGGATCCAGTAGGCCAGCCATTGCTCGTCATCATTCTTGGATGGGCTTTCGATGGCACAAATCGACGCATATCTGATGCAATAAGCGTGTTTGTTTGTCGAGATGGAAGAGAAAAAAAAAAAAAAAGTCATGAGCAAGAAAGAACGAAAGAAAGAAAGAGGGTGTGTGTGTGTGTGTGTGTGTGTGTCGTACAAGGGATACAAGAGCGTGACGGCAGGCCTGCATGCATGATGGAACGAACGGATCAGATCACGTCAAACAGGGACAAAAAACAATCCAAACATAGAACGAACGATAGGAGTTCATGGCACCCAGAGCTATCGTACCCTGCGACGGAGTGCAGGTGGGAAAGAAAGCTCCCGAAGTTAGCCATACGGCTCGCTCGATCGATGTAGCTCTCCCTTCCTTGCACGCCAAATAAGAACAAAAAGGGACGATTGCCGAGAGTTGCTTTGGATGAGAGGCCTGAGAGAGACTATTATGATATGAAGAAGGGGAGCAGCTTATACTTATATACATGGGAGGAAGTAGTAAAGGGGACAGACAGGTAAAAAGATGGGTAGCACATGAGGATGGTATCGGATTCCTTCCTTGGACATGTCACCCAAGTCAAGCACCGACCACCATGTTTAAGTGAGAGCAGCACGTCCGATGACCTAATTAAATCCCAAAGGTCTAATGGCCGGCTTAGTTAATCATCCATCGACGGTATGGCAAGACATTTTGGGGGCAAAATTAAGTGGTAGGAGGGAGTCTGTGAATACGTGTTAATAAAAACTGACAACTCTTTAAGTGAGTTTGAATTAAAAATTAAGAATATTTTAACATATTTCAAAAGAAAAATATTGACAAGTCCTTTTTTTGTTTTTTTACATAACATTAAATTTAGGCATATATTTTTTAAAACATCTTATAATATTTAATTTTTTTATCAAAAATTGATAATTTAAAAAAAAAATAAATCTCAGTTAGAATGTCCTTTGAATGGACTTATAGTAGTGTTTTTGTTAATAAATCAAAACATTATAATTCTAATAAAAAAATTATAATTGACTTTCAACTAATTGAATTTTTTTTACTAACAATAAATTATTTATGTTTTGAGGTATTAAAAAATTATTAGCATGAGAAATTAGATGATTTTGGATGAAAATTATAAATAACTAAATTTCGAGGAATACAATGAATTATTATAGAGTGAGGGGGTATTGACTTGACAATTTTATCATAAAGACTCTGGATTGGAATTTTTATATTTGACACTTATCCTTTGTTTAAAAAAAATTAATTATTTAAAATATATCCTTTATAGGCACAGTCTTCGATATTGACTCAAAAATTGATTATATGCATCGATATTCGAAGCTTTCAGAGTCTTCGATGGCTTACGTAAAAGATTGAGTTATGTCAAATTGTTTGCTGACCACACATTAAAGCATAAGATACAAGTTTGGAAACGCATATATATATGTAGGTTTGGCACTAGGGATCATCATCACCGGAGTCAGTCATCCAACCGTCGACTCATATGACAAACACATCAATAAAATATGGGGTCCAACCACCTGCTGCTGTAGATATATTGGTCTGAGCAGAATTGTAAATCTACAGTAACGGGTACAAACAGGTGACGAGGGAAGTAAACAAAGTTCCGTGCCAGTTTGAAATCTACAACTTAAAAAAAAGTTCCTGTTGACATGAAATCAATCGGGTGGAAAAGAGGATGTTGTTGACTTTTTACCTCCTTTGTTTCACAGATTGGAATTCATCCCTGGTGAGGCTCTCCGTACTTGGACCTTGTGCCACGATGTGTTCAGTATACCTCTTAGGTTCCATATAGCATCTACCTTTTCAGGTTGGACATTTGCAGCAGTGTCAACCTGCAGAGATTGAATAGATACAACTCAGAAAATAACATACATCAATTTGAAGCAAAAGAGCATATTGATAATGCTAACTCAAGTAAGAAAACATATTGATGAAACGTGTCCAGCTCATCAAAACTTGGAAGTTATGATATCGAGTGTTCTGGATCAATATCTCAACATGGAAGAATATTCTAGCAAGTGTTGCAATATGATAACAGTAATTAATATCTGTGTTAAATTCCATCAAATTCAAATATATATGTAAAAGCAATAACTGGTCCTAAGGCATTCAAAGGGACAATTAAGATGTCAACTGCTCATGGATTTCCAAGAAATAAATCGATTCCTAAAGACCTAATAAATAATAAACATCATCTTATTAGTGACTAGCAGCAGCATAAGCACTACTCAATGCATAGGATTTAAAAAATATGTTGTTCTGTCTGCAATAACAGTTTGAGGAACCTTGATTATTGAAGGAATACAAAAATTAAATAAAACTATATCAGTCAAAATGTTAGTAATTAGTTTAAAACTGATTTAAGCACAACACTGACGATAGAATTTAAAGAAAATCTTTGTCATTATAGCAAAGGTTTATTCAACTCTGATAAGAAATCATTGATGCATCACATCTTGGCAACCATTATCCACTGATTCATCACATGGATCTGTAACAATGAAATGAACATCACTGGTTAAATAGGAACCTTTACAGGACTTGACGATGATGACATTTTTTGTCCCCATCCATTTAAAGATTAAGACCATCAAGTCTGCAGATTGCTTAAAAACTTAAATGCACCATACAAAATCATCTGTCTTATTGAACTGGAAATTTACGCCTTTTTTCTCTATATAATTTCTACCAGAGGCATAGTTCAGATGCATTTACAGAATTAATTTTCAACACATCTGCAGCAGAACAAAACAAGAATTTACTAACTAAAGTCAGGAGAGAGTTGAACTAAAAAAATTTTTAACTCATATATACAATATCAACAAGTCATGACTCAATTATTATGGGTTAGTCACATGAATTTTTTTCCTGTCATTGTGCTCCATATAACACAATATCATTGTGCTCCGTTTTGCACTTCTTGTAGTACTAACACTAATCAACTGAGTTGTCTAACCATATCTATGAATTTTATTTGGACATGTAAATACCATCATCTTAAATAATTATCCCTTGTTATATCGACAACACCTAATTGTTTATCGATGCAAGAATTTTTCTATATTTCCTAATAATTCTGTTTATTGACCACAACACTTACATCTCAGCTAAACAAACTCCTTGTGCATGTTTTCTTACCCACCCAAGTATACTCATATGTGTGAATATATTAATAAAAAACTAAACTATTATCTAACATAGAATATAAAGATTGGCCAGTTTTTACTTATCATGGGGTCTTCAAACAATGCTCCAAATGAAGGTTCCCAGGTATATTCTGAGGTTTTAAAAGAGCAAGATCAGGATTGAAGCGGATGACAATGGCCATATGGAGGTCATTTCAGCTACTAGTATACTATTAGTAGCAACTAGAGTGTTCTGTAAATTCTTCAGAAGACCCGGAACTTCTCTACTAGAATAAAAAAGACTGGATAAGCTACCAAGATATTCGGAAGAACTAAATGACAACATTCAAGTAGACACAATCCAAGTTCCAAATAGCCGATTGCGATAATATAGCCCATACCGCCTTAGCAATAATCACAGCATTTTCCGGTATGTCAACAGTAGCTTTAAATAGAACCCATGCCCACTTGTCATTGTTCATATCATCAGATTGATATGGTATATTGCGTCTTTGATATCTCTCAGCTTCCAACCATGTCTTTCCCCCATCAACGGATATATCTACTCTCTCAATTCCACGGCCACCACCAGATACTGCATATCCAGCAATAGTAGCCTGCAATACAACATATTAAAGTAGATTAAACATATCACCTTAATATTTAGATATAAAGGTCTAAACCAGTGAGTTCACATACCTTTACTTGATTTACAACATCCACATCCTCTAAAGAACATATTGCACACTGTCAACCCGATAATCAGTATAAATTAGTATAATTATTTTTTCACGAGAATGTCACGAAAAAAAACAGTAATTGGTGTGACAACATGCAAAACATGGCGAACAGTTTGTAGTTCTATAAGAAAGCTTAAGATACTTAACAAGGTTACATTGTCAAGTATCTGTTGAATCCCATTTGAACTTTACGATTAACATAAATTCTTTCAAGAAATTATTTATATTACTAGACAATAGGTCACTAAAGTTAGCCTCACTTGTAACACAGTTTGAGATTGAATCGACGCTGGTTGCTCAGACAAATACTGAAAGCAAGACTGACCATAATTACATATTTCTGTCAATCATAAGAAGTACTTGCACGCAGCTAAATCTACACAAAAGCGGAGGATTTTGGCATTATAGTTGCCCTTCAGGATACAATAATAGAAAAAGGAAGCTTTAACCCTTAAAATTGCATGAGCTGCTCATGAATCTCCCCAGAGAATTTCATTACAACAAGACAAAAAAGAAGAAGAAGCCATAATGTCACAACAATTTAGGGTTAGCTACATGTATCCATTTCCGTCATGGATTCTGCATGAGACAATATCCTTAGTTACATCAAGAGCATTCTAATCTTCATTTGCAGTTTCTAGTAAAGACTTATGAGAGCTCCCTTTAGCTTTTCTCACTCCATCAATATTAACTGTCTCACCTCATCTAACTATAACAGTTTTAGATCTTTTCAAAACATATATGTATTATCTTAGATGGATTCCCTCATTTCATCCTATATCTGAACTACATCTAATTGTTCATAAAAGAAGACAACACAAACCTTTTGTACATGTTGGTTAACCACCAAAGCATTTATAACCACAAGGCATATCTGCTCCAACATTTTTTTTCTAAACAGACATCTGTTCATCACACAAAACTCCCGATGTCTCTCTTCACTTGAACTTTCTAATTTTTTTTACTTTATAAATAATATCTTAATAAATCTCTCTATCATGTTAAATGTAAAAGAACTTTTGTCTATTCATCCAAACTATATCTTTAATTCTTCTCTTACGATTACCAAAATTACATATCATATATTAGATCTAATTCTATTTAATTTAAACAATTAGTTTTTAAAGTTTCACTTTATAATTCAAGATTATAATTAATTCCATTGAAGCTCTCAATTACTTAAAACTAATAAGTCATTTAGCAAATGTATTCATGGAACTGATTCATTAATGGATGTCACAAATTACTTTGTTCCATTGACCAAGGGTTTAAATTTTTATGTAAAATGGATCATTTTGGGAAACAATTGTCAAAGATGAAATATGTTGTCAAAATCTTGATATCAAGAACATTTCTATTGTGCCCTTAGCTTTCCCTTTGTTCCCTTGAAATGAAAAGCTAAAATTTTAATGACTCAAACTTGTGCTACTTTGCAAAAAAAGCTATGATATTGGGGTACAAATGAATGCAATATACCTGCACAGGAAAGTCCATTTGTGCCTTCCTGGTCAACCAATTGATATTATCCCAATTAACTGAAGGTGGAAACATTTTGTAATCCTT